GGTCAGAAGACCACTTTGAGGAGTCCTTTCTCTCCTTGACCACATACGTCCAGGGGATAGAACTCAAATCAGGCTTGGCAGCAAGCATCCTTATCCACTGATCCATCTCACTGGCCCCAATAATAATTTTTTTAGTAAAACCCCTAAACATTGACCTGGTCCCATGTAGCCTTTTGACCATCTTAGGGGTGTGGCTGGAAGACACTGGAGGGGCAGGGACATGAATCAGATGGTTCTTCCCTCCGGAGTATTGCTTCTCAGATGAAAGGCAGATGGGAGTTGTGGGAAGATGTCAGCAGAGGCACTGTTCTGTGTGACGGGAAGCACCGGGACTGTTGGGGCCCAGAGAATGTACCAGATGGTCCTGGGGACAGAGTCCTTTGCCTCCTTCCTGGAGGCGGGTGTCTTGGTTGAGTGGGTCAGTGAAGTAGAATAAAGTAGTTGATGAGACAGGAAAGACAATCTAGAGGCCCAGAGACAGAAGAGACTAAAGAGAGTTCTGAGGGGTTGTGGCAGGGGCATGGTACAGGCCTGGCAGGGTCTGGGAGGCCCTGGCTGGGAGCATAGACTCTTGAGGACTTATTTCACAGAGCCTGAGGAGCAAGGGAGTAACAGTCAGTTATGTGTTTATGGAAGAAGTCTGACTGGGGCAGGAAAGGCCCTGGGGCTCGGGAAGGAAGTCCCGATGACCCCAGATCTCCCGGCAGCTCTCCTCACCTGGTGCAGGTGCGTGAGCGGATCCGAATCAATGGGCAGCCCATCAGCCCTGAGCTCTTCACCAAGCACTTCTGGCGCCTCTACCACCGGCTGGAGGAGACCAAGGTGCTGGGACTGGAGGGCTGGTGGGTAGGTGGACAGAACGGGGGCACTGCCTGTCCTCATATCCCTAGAGTAGGGGCTTTGAGGGCGGAGGGAAGCTATGGACCCTGATATGTTCCTGTGTGCAGGATGGCAGCCACGCCCCCATGCCCGCCTACTTCCGCTTCCTCACACTCATGGCCTTCCACATCTTCCTCCAAGAGAAGGTGGGTGCCTTCCCTAGACCCCTGTATCCGAGACCTCAGGGACTGGATGGAATCTCAGTGGAGGGAAGGCGGTCCCATGTGGCATCTGGGCACCTCTTCTCCTGCCACGCTCACTGGTTTGCTGTCTGGTTCTCTGCAGGTGGACCTGGCCGTGGTAGAAGTGGGCATCGGTGGGGCTTACGACTGTACCAACATCATTAGGTGAGGTGGCTGCTTGGGGACAGGAGTAGTAGCCAGGAGCCCAGGCCTGACTTGCTGTCTGGTAGCTCAGCGTTGGGTGTCGGGTCCCCTTTGTCTTTTGCAGGAAGCCTGTGGTATGTGGAGTGTCCTCTCTTGGCATTGACCACACCAGCCTGCTAGGAGACACCATGGAGAAGATAGCATGGCAGAAAGGGGGCATCTTTAAGGTGACCAGGCGGGCTGGGCAGGAACATGGGAAGCCTTGGCCTTCAAGGCTTGGGGAAGAGGGGTGGGGCAGAACTATTACTGTTCCTAGCCATTGGCAGAGTCTGTATTCTTTTTTTTTTTTGGTCTTTTTGAGACAGGGTCTCCCTGTACCAGCTGGCCTAGAACTCAATATGTAGACCAGGCTGGCCTTGAACTCACAGAAATCTACCTGCCTCTTCCTGCCTCCCAAGTGCTAGGATTAAAGGCATGCATTGTCACGCCCAGATTTTTTTGTCTTTTTTGAGACAGTGTTTCCCTGTAGCCCCAGCTGACTTATAACTTGGTATGTAGACCCAGTTGGCCTTGAACTCACAGAGATCTGCTTGCTTCTGCCTCCTGAATGTTGGGATTAAAGGTGTGCGCCACCATGGCTGGCAGAGTCTGGGTTCTTGTCCCACTCCACTGTGTGACTTGAGCTCCTCTGGCCTCAGTTGAAGCCAGACCTAGGCCTAGGTCTGTGGGGGTAGGTGAAGGACCCCAGCAGTCTGTCTGACTCCCGTTGGCCTGCCCGCAGCCTGGTGTCCCTGCCTTCACTGTGCCACAGCCAGACGGTCCCCTGGCCGTGCTGAGGGATCGAGCCCAGCAGATCTCAGTGAGTGACTAGATGATTTGGTGGCAGGGTGGGAGTACTTGTTCTGACTAGGCCGGTGCTTTCTCCTGTAGGGCCTCAGTTTCCTCATCCGTGCATTGTGGAAGCTGGGGCCAGCTGCTTATACCTAGAACACATCTGGTTGTGGGAGCAGGTCGTGGTGGGTGCTGGTGGGTGGGGTGTGATCAGAGGGTTTCCTAGTCACAGTGGTGGCAGTGGCAGCTGTGCTGATCAGCTGCTGCCCTTTCCCCACAGTGTCCTCTCTACCTGTGTCCCCCGCTGGAAGCCCTGGAGGAGGAGGGAAGGCCATTGATGCTGGGCCTGGAGGGAGAACACCAGCGGTCCAATGCAGCCTTGGCCTTGCAGCTGGCTCATTGCTGGTTACAGTGGCAGGACCACCATGGTCAGTGGTCCCATGTGGGCCGGTGGCTGGGCAGTGCATGGCCGCCTGCTTTGGAAGGGTTTGAACCACTGGGCTTCACACCCTACAGATATCTGGGAGCTGAAGGTGTCTAGCCCAAACACATGGTGGCAACTGCCCCTGGCACCAAGGTTCCAACCCACATCCCGTATGCAACATGGTAAGCCAGAACTTCCTGCCCAGCCAGGACCACTATGTGACTTTGTTTACTTTGAGATGCATCTTTTGGTTTCTTGTTTGGGGATTAGGATCAGTTCAAGGTTATGCCTCAAGGTCAGCATTCCTCCCTGGCTTGGAGTTTATGAATCTTTGGAACCTGTTTCCCTCTCTGCCAAATGAGATAATAACTGAACTCATTGCCAAAGGCTGTTGTGATGATTCGCAAAATGACATCACTAAGATGCTGAGCCCAGACCCTAGAGGATGTAGGACAAAGTGCCCAGTCATTGGCAGCTGCTATCCTTGTCAAGTGTCATGAGACTGTGAGGCTGTCTCTGCTTCTGTCCTTCGAAAGCTGCCCTCAGCACATAGTAGGTGCTCATGCTGTTAGACCCTTCAGAATGGTTTCAATGTGCCCACTGTGTGCCAGGGCTGCCAGCAGGAGTCAGGTGGTCCTGGAGCAGACCTTAGGTCACATTCCAGTCCAAGCTCTCACTTGTTGTGTGAACTTAGACAGAGCTCTGTAGCTGCCAGATGGGAACCAAATGTGATTGTATGACAGTATCTCCTCCTGAGGGTTGCCTGGAAGATTCTGCAGAGGAGGCAACCCAAGCTGGGAACTCCAGGACTGGCACTAGTAAGAGGCTCTTGGGCTGAGGGTCAGCCTGTGGGGCCAGAAGACTCCCTATCATATGCAGAACTAAAAGACTGGGGTTGGGGAGGATCCCAGAACACTGTCTTGTTGGCCTTTGCTAGGGCTTCGGGACACGGAGTGGCCTGGCCGGACACAGGTGCTGCGGAGGGGACCCCTTACCTGGTACCTGGATGGGGCACACACCACCAGCAGCGTGCAGGCCTGTGTTCGCTGGTTCCATCAGTCGCTGCAGCGTAATGAGCGACCCAGTGGGTGAGCTCCCAGCAGGGTGGGGTGGGGGGCAAGACCCACAGGAGGTGGGGCCTTGGGTAATGACTGGGGTTTGGCATAAGGGCCCTATTGGATTGGATCAGTGGGGAGGGAGGGAAGGAGAGGAAGGCTGGTAGGACATGCTCTGACCCCTTTCTTCCTGCTGCAGTGGACCTGAGGTACATGTCTTGCTCTTCAACTCTACTGGAGACAGGGACCCAGCAGCCCTGCTGAAGTTGCTGCAGGTGAGGGACCCATCCTGGAGGCTGGGGGGCAGGTAGACCAACAGCTGTCCTTGGTTCTGCCCGTGTGAGGTCTACAGGTCAATTTCCTCTGCTGTAAAATAGTGCCATTCCCTGTCCACTAAATTGTACTGAAGATGAAATGTAGAGGCCTTGGGCCCTTGGGAAGTCCAGCCATGAGCCATCACTCTTGTTCTCTTTGCAGTGGGAGACAGGGCCATGTGGTGGTTAGAGGAGCAGGCTCTAGACTCACTTGGCATATCCCCTTAGCCTCTAGCCTGGACTGGTCAACAGATTGTCTTGTCTGAGCCTCAGCTCACCTCTCCAGGCAGTGAGGAAACGGAGGGAGACTGTCTCAGGCATGTTTTAAGGAGTCACAGGCTGTAAGCACAGAGAGGCCCTTCTCTGCTAGGGGAAACAGGCTGCTCTGGGCTGTGAGGGTTGAAGTGGCTCTTAGGATATATTCCATTTCACAAAGCAAGAGCCCGAGGCTGTTTATATCCAGAAGCAGCTTGGATTCAGGCTCCCTAGTTGGATTCAGCTGGCAAGTGCCACCTGTCCTAGCCGCAGACCCCCTCTGTACAGTAGGCCTTGCCTTCACTGCTGGTCCACAGGCAGGCGGGGTACACTGAGGCAGATGGGGGCAGGTGTTGAGGGACTGTGGCTGGTGTCTGCAGTGTCACTCTATCTCAAGAATGGGCAGTGTCTTCAGAGATGAGGGCCTGGGGGCTGTTTGGAAGTCGGGTGCGGGTGAGGGACCTTCTTTTAGGACTCTAACACCAAGTCTCCCTTTGGCCTCCAGCCCTGTCAGTTTGACTATGCTGTCTTCTGTCCCAACCTGACAGAGGTGTCGGCCACAAGTAATGCAGGTAAGAGGGGATGGGGGATGGGCCGAGGCCAAGGGCCCTGAGGTAGGCTACTCTGTAGGAAGCAGACTTCTAAACTGTAGGTCTGGGTGGGAGGTAGATTTTATTACATAAACAGTCTTTGGTACATTTAAATTTTTGTGCCATGTAGCCACAATACTGTAAAAAAATGATCAAGGTGAGCGTTTTTCACAAAGGGCAGGTTATAGCCTACTGAAGGCTACTGAGATCAGCTTTATGGGCTTGCTTTCTTTTAATTTTGTATTTTATTTATTTATTTATTTAATTTCGAGACAGGGTCTCTTTGTAGCCCCAGCTGGCCTGGAATTCATTATGTAGACCAGACTGGCCTAGAGCTCACTAGATCCATCTGCCTCTGCCTCCCATGTGCTGGGGTTAAAGGCCTGTGTTAATTATGTCTAATTATGTGCATAAGCGGTTTGCCTGCGTGCAAGTGCACTATATACAGTGCCTGCAGTGGCCAGCATCGGATCCCCTGGAGCTGTAGTTATGGAAAGTTAGAAGCTGCCATATGGGTGCAGGGAATAGAACCTGGGTCCTTTACAAGAACAGTCAGCTCTCTTAACCTCTGATTAACCATCTCTCCAGTCCCAGCTTAATGGGTCTTGACTAGCATTTGTTACTTAAAGTGAAATAGAACAGAATAGAAAATATCAGTGTGTATGGCATAAAGGAAGGGTAGATACTGCCTGGAAAGCTTCAGTCTCAGGCATGTGTGTCTGTGAGGACTGGGCTGCAAGGAAAAATGCATGAAAAAAGTATTTTTTGGTCTTTTTGAGACAGGGTCTCCCTGTAGCTCCAGCTGGCCTGAAACTTACTATGTAGACCAGGCTGGCCTTGAACTCACAGAGATCTGCCTGCCTCTGCCTCCTGAGTGCTGGGACTAAAGGTGTATGCCACCATGCCTGGCTTGGAACATCTTTTATTAACTGGACATACTTATGCCTACCTAGTGAGGGACTAGGATAGGCTGGATAATTTTTATTTTGTCTTTTTTTCCCCCCTTTGGAGATAAGGACCGAACCTAGGCCCTTGCGCTTGCTAGGCAAGCGCTCTACCACTGAGCTAAATCCCCAGCCCCCAGTTGGATACTTTATAGATGAGGATGATGGGAGATGCATAGTAGGTAAAAGCTTTGGCGTTGGACTGCCTGGCTTTGCTTCCCATGAACCTTGGGCAGGCGGTTGAACTAGTCTGCCCTTCAGTTTTTTTTTTTTTTTTTTTTTTTTTTTTTAAAAAAAAAAAAAAAAAAAAAAAAAAAGAGGACGATAAATCTTTCACTGTGATATCAGGCTGGCCTTGAACTCACAGAGATCCACCTGCCTCTGCCTCCTGAGTGCTGGGATTAAAGGCATGCGCCACCACACCTGGCCTACCCTTCAGTTTCTTAGAGTGTCTACTGTGGGGACCACTAGCATTCTGGTGGACTGATACATATATAAAGGGCCAGGTGCTAAGTAGGTGCTCACTGTACACTGACCGCTTTCTTTTTTCATTCCACTGATGCCTTGTTCTGCATCCCGTAGACCAGCAGAACTTCACAGTGACTCTGGACCAAGTGCTGCTCCGCTGCCTCCAACACCAGCAGCACTGGAGCTGCCTGAGTGAAAAGCAGGCCAGCCCGGACCTCTGGAACACCCCCAGCACGGAACCTGACGGGCCAGCCTCCCTGCTTCTGGCTCCCCACCCTCCCCATCCCACCAACACCAGCTCCCTTGTGTTCAGCTGCATTTCCCACGCCTTGCAGTGGATCAGCCAAGGCCGGGACCCTATCTTTCAGCCCCCAAGTCCTCCAAAGGGCCTGTTCAGCCACCCCACTGCCAGCAGTGGGGCCAGCGTTCTCCGGGAGGCTGCTGCCATCCATGTACTGGTCACAGGAAGCCTGCATCTGGTGGGTGGAGTCCTGAGGCTGTTGGAGCCCTCCCTGTCCCAGTAGCCAAGGCAGTGGGGTCAGAGGTGGGAGCTTCCCACACCTGCCCTCTTTTCTATGAACTTACACCTGGTGCCTTTTGATTTCTGGTTTCTGGATTCTGTTGAGACTGGCCCAAGGCCCTGGGCTCTGGGTAGAGTAGGGGGTTTGGGAGAGGCTCTGTGCCTTGGCCTCTACTTCCTCTGGCACAGAGAGCAGGGGTCTTTCCAGGGTCCCCACCATGGTAGCAGGCTTGTTCCCATCCCATCTCTCTGACTACCCCATTGCCTCCTGGCTCAGGTCTAGCTTATGTGTGAGCTGCCTGACCAGCCTAGGATCCTGCCTGAGACTTAGGCCAGAGACTTTCTCCTTCCAGTGCCTTCTGGGAAGAGAAGGCCCCTGCCTGGGACACTCTGTGACAGTGGGTAGCTAGAGTAAATTAAAGTGCTTTAAATTTTTTTGTTTGTTTTGGGTAAAGAAATGGCAAAACCTTTGATGGATTCTAATCTCTACCTCCCTCATCAGACAGTTGGGAGGTGGGCCTGGGGCTGCAGCTGTGGTAGAAGCTGGATTGGGTAAAGAGAGCCCATCTCTGCGGCATGGGACAAGTCCTTTTCTCCCTCACAGCATCAGGCCTATGACATGGAAGGCTTAACTGATGTCTTTTGGCCACATGCCAGACACTGCTTTGCAAACCTCACCAGCTGTGAACTCAAGCTTTATACCCATTTTACAGATGGGGGGCTGGGGGAGGTAGGTATGTGAATCTTTCAGGAGCTGCCCACAGGCCCGTAGCCTAGAAGTGGCAGGTACAAGATTAGAATGCAGAGCTTTATGGGAGAGACTGTGTTCTAAACCCAGGAAGTGTGAACAGGGCTTCCTAATGTTTCTCTAGCCTCATCCTAGGGGTGGACCACCTAATGAGTGAGCAGCAGAGGGGACTAGTGTCATCCAGTCAAGTGCTCTGACCACCTGCTACCAGGCCAGCGCAGGGGCCGCTGAGTACAAGCAGCCCTGTTGTGTCACAGTGAGGCCCTCCCCTTCATCCAGCCCAGCATGACACTGACTTCATATCTGATTTATTGGTGAATATACAGGGGTAGGCCCAGGACCAGCAGCCTGGCCACTCCCCTCCTGCTTCTTGCCCAGTGGATGGGCTGGGAAGGAGGTCTCTGGCATTCTGGGAGGAGCTGGGCTCCCCCTCCCCACTGCTTTGCCACCCTCTGAGCTCCCAGGCCGAACACTCCAGGCTTCTGTTTTCCTCACCAAAGTTGTGCCAGTCCAGGTGAGGAGGCCACAGGCACCAGATGCAGGGCTCTGGGCTGGATTTAATTCCATTCCCATGGGCTAGGCTTAGTCTGTTTGGAGTCTCTCTTCCTACCCTGCCCCGTTCCCCAGCTCAGGATCCAGCTTGAAATGGCAGGGACTCAGGTTCCCACAGCAACATGGATGTACAGGGCAGTGGCATGTCTCTCTGTGCTCCTGGGCAGCTGTATCCCAGAGTCCCTGGGTTGGACTGTTTTGTGAAGTGGGGTAGGGAGACCCTGAGGTGTTCCAAGCTGGTGTCCCCGCTGGCAACAGGCCTCGGTGAGGGAGGCAGGAAGGGTGGGTGCAGAGGACATGCTCCATCCTCAGTTGAGTGGAGGTGCTGGGCTCCTGGGGTGAGTTCATGGCCAGTGGTTCCCAGCTGATGGCTGCTTAGTCTCCTGCAGGGCGAGGGCTGGCTGGGGGGCCCCTGGGGCTCCAGGCTGGGTGCTACGCCATGCTGCTGGTGGAGCAGGGGGTGCTCTGGGTGCTCCCGATGCTGTGGTTGGTGCTGCTGCTCTCAGAGGAGGCCAGAGCAGCCACCGCCACCACGGGCTCCCGCTTGCTGGGGGGACCTGAGGGGCATGGGCAGGGGCGGAGGTCAGGGCCCCAGCCAGGGCTCCCCATCCCCTCAGCGGCTTCACTGGGTATGCCCAGAGGGTGTGGAGGGGCCTTGAGCACTCACTGTGGGGGAAGCTGGGGATACTCACGTGTATGCGAGTAGATGAACCAGAGTGCAGCCGTGAGCAGGGCCCCAATGAGGAAGGCACCAAAGGTGATGCCCAGCACAGTGGACAGGACAAGGCCTTTGCCTGTGTGATCAAGGGACAGCCAGTGGTGGTCAGTATTGCTGTTATGCCCTGGCTTTGGGCCAGTCCCTAAGCTATCATGCTGACCAGGGGGACAAGTGACCCTGACCTCTCTGAACACCAGACTCTACATCTAGCATGTGGGCTCATCACACTAAGCTGTGAGGATCTGCTCCAAGAGCCCAGACAGCCAGGCCTTCTGAGCCATCTTTCTGTCTCCTAAGGCTGGTGGAGAAGCATCTTTAGGGGACATGGTACATGAGCAAAGACCGAAGGACCTGCTCTGCCCTGTTGTATGACCTTAGGTCAGCCCCTGCTTGTCTCTGAGCCCCTGTACCAGATTCAGATAAACCAGAGCACCTTTTAAAACTAGTGCTGCTTGATTGTCCCAGGACTCATTCAAAACTCTCATCTTCTGTGTGACCTTGGGCCCTCGTTCTCTGAATCCCACCATGCAGTGGGGTTATGAACCCTACATTTTTTTTTTTTTTTTAAATTTATGGACATGAGTGTTTTTCCTGGATGTATGAGTGCAATGCCTATGTAGGCCAGAAGAGAGCATCAGATCCCCCAGGAACGGGAGTTAAGCACTATAAGTTGCTATTCAGGTGCTGAGTACCAAACCCAAGCAGCTAATACTGCTGAGCCATCTCTCCAGCCCCCAGCCCTACATTCTTGAGCCTGGCTGTGGGATGAGGATACATGCCTCTAGCATCAGGACTGTATTGAATGATGGTGTCTGGGCCCAGGAGAACTAATTAAGAGGCCAGAGGGCACTGGGCTGAAGGGACTTCCTCCACATTAGAGGTGTCAAGGAAGGTAAGGCCTATGCCACACCCAAGGCACCTTATGTTCCACAAGGAGGTTGTGCCCTCTGGCAAGGTCTGCTAGCAGTGCAGAGGACAAAGGACACTAGGTAAAGGCCCTTAGGTCTGGAGTGTGTTCCCATGGGGTGACCATCAGCAGAGTCTCCCTCCCTTAAAATGTAACTTATTGCCCTACCCCTCCTCCCAGGGTGCCCCACCCCATCTCCCCACCGTGTGCCTGGGCTCCATCCCTCCAGCTGTCAGTTGTTCTCCACTCACCAGACAGGTCAGGGATGGCAATGTTCAGGCGCATGGAGATGTTCCTGTTGACTTCCTGAAGGGGGTTGGGGAATGGTGAGTGGCACAGCCTTGGCAGGTAACGTGGCTCTCCCTGGCTCTGTAGCCCTGACTTGCTACCACTCTGAGCCTTAGCTGAGTCCTGTGTCCACCACTTTCTAGCTGGGAGCCTGGGAGCAAGCTCTAGGGCATCAAGACAGTGTGGGGCTGCTGGAGGCCTCTGATGCCTGAGTTTAACGGGACTTCTGCCTCTGTCACCCTGTGTAACCCTTGAGCTACAAGCCAAGCCAGCCCAGAGATCTGGCTCATGGGCTGGAGCGGGGCTCAGGGCCTGGAGGGTGAGGCTGGCTGGTAGCCCAAGCTTCTGGAAGTTTTTATTCTTGGAAACCTTTCTATGTACCAACACCTGGGGTGGTTGTGTGTGTGTCAGACTGTGGCCTGAGAATGGAGATTTACCTGACAGTGAAGTACTGACACCAGCTAGGCAGAAAGTCAAGATTTTGTGTCACTTCTCCCTAAGCTCCCTGGTTCACCGAGATCAGTCACATTGGTTATTACCATGTGTGCGGCGGATGAGTGACTGGGTAAGACTGTGGAACTAAAGGTTTGATGGATTCATATAGATGGGTGGGTAGATGGGTTCATGGAAGGGTGGTCAGGTGGTCAGGATGGGTGGGTGGGTGGTGGAAGAATGGATAGGTAGGTAGATAGATTTATGAGTGGGTGAGTAGATGGATGGGTAGATAGGTGCATGGATTAGTGAGTGAATGGATGGGT